CACAGCAGAGGGTGGAATGAAGCTGGCGGGAGGACTGGAGCGAAAGGGGACCAAGCCAAACTGAGCCACAGAAGAAGGTAAAATGAAGTCAAAATCGGCAGAGTCCAGCTGGTGGGGTGCTGCCCTGCGGATCCGAGGTATGCTGAACAAGTGTGGCCGGCAGAGTGGGATGGTGAAGCATTGCACTGTGCAGAACAGCTAGTAGCACAGACATTTTGCTGACCAGAGTAGGGCGAACCAGAGTAAGCCATAAGTTTGTGTGCTCTCACCTGAGGCTAAGGCTTGTGGTCCACAGCCTCACCGCGGAGATTTCGTCGAAGGGATTCGGGGCTCCGCAGCAAACGCAATTTTTTTCTCTTTCTCAAACGGGCCTTCGCCCTCTTTGGACAAGCTGGGCACATGTGACCAGAGCGATCCGGGCCGAATTTAGGGCTTTCTACAACTAAACTGCCCCGCCCCCTTACTTTTCCCCCAAGAGTTCCTGTAGCATCTGCTTGGGGGGTCTGGTGCAACCGTGGCCAGACTCAGCCATCAGATCCAGTATTTCCCCTTATGTGACAGCAGTAGTGCAGCAGTTAATGCTAAAGAGCCACACCATTCGTGGGCTGTGGTACCCCAGGAATCGTTACGGGAGACACCGGTCACTCTGTCTGGGACAGGGAAGTGTCCGACTTAAGTCTGTGGAGCACAAGCCTAAGCCAAATAAGGCTCAGTGGAGCTGAACAAGTGAAGAGCCAAATAAGGCACAGTGGAGCACCTGCACGAAAGCTCAGAGGAGTTAAGCTGTGCTGATACGAGTGAGGGCCAGCAGAGCTGCTCAAGAGGTGGCCCAAACAGAGTGAAATCAGTCGGGTGCAAGTGGAGCACTGCTGAGCTGCAGAGAGGGAAATTCAGATGTGCGTTGGCATGACATTCTCTCCTTTCACCTGAGCCAAGCTGGGGGCTCATATTTAGAGGACTTAAGCAGAAATGTTCCGAGCACAGTAGAGTTGAGAGGAGCAGAGTGAGGCCAAGCAGAGCTGAGTTGAGCACATCCAACCATGGGTTGTGAAAGAAGAGTCTAGATGTTTTACCATGGGAGTGCGCTCCTTCATTCATTCCTATGCTGCTGCTGCTCAGTGCGAATAGGATCTTCCTGGGTGTAGCCAGGAGGCTGTGAAAACTGTCCGTGAAAGGCATATAAACTTGGAAAGTGGTCCAGAGCGAAGGCGGTTTTGAAATATGTGCTTATCGCCAAGCCCCCTTCCACTTCACCCCTGTCGAGTGTTTGGTCTCATCAGCCTCTGGCAACCTCTGGGCCACGGTGCAATGTGGGAGGTTGGGGAAGATTGCCTCAAAGGTAGTGCTGGTTTAGCTGGCCAAGTCTTTTTTACCTTCTCCATTTGGTACACCACATACCTGCTCATACTTGTGTTCTACTCCTTATGCCTGAGTTTTGATTAAATATACTATCATGCGCTTACCTCTGAGCAATAGCGTTGGTTTCCTTCAGGGCATTGCTCGTATCACAGTGTGCTGGAGAACCACTTGAGGTTGCCTGTCTGGAACGGAGTGTACCCGTCTTTGTCAGCGATTGCATCGAAATCGACTTGCTGAGTAGTTGCAGTTTTGGCACGTGCACAATGGTGGTGGTCTTCTTAACAGACACTGCTCTACAATCTAACACAGGCGTACTGGTTGCTGAGCAGGTGCAGTTTCGGCTGCGGTGAAGGCGCACACATGATGCAGCATCCTGCGAGTAAACAGTCACAGAATTCGATTTAAGATTCTTCATGCAGCATCCTGCGAGTAAACGGTCACAGAATTCGATTTAAGATTCTTCATCATCTGTGCACATGCACATCCTTTTTATCATTCGGCACTCTTGAGAACATCAGATGTCGGTGGGTGTGTGCCAGTGTTACATGCTGCGCCTGCACACGGGCCCATTTTAAGGGGTCCGACGATTGCTGAGGGGCCCCAGGCCGCATGCCATCAGACATGCGCCCTGGAGGCCCACGGCGGCCCCCAGGCTGCAGATTCCAAATAAAGGCAGCAGTATTTATTTATTTACTTACCTGTTGTCTTGTCCTTTGTCTGTGCAGACGTCGTTTCGGACTTACAGACCCCAAGGCAACGCGTTGGGCCAGGTACAGGGGCACGAGGCCCTTCCGAAACCAGGCACGTTTTGGCGCCTCTGACTCAACGGTACCAATACTGTTTCGGACCACAGGCACCAAGGCAGCGCCTTGGGCCAGGTGCACAGTAACCGGGCCTGATCCAGGCCGGGCGCATTTTTGCGACTGCTGCATCAGCAACATGGTCTGGATGTCCGGTAGGGACCCAGACCAGCTGGGCCGTTTCTGAGGCCAGCTCCAGGTAGGCCCAGCCCGCCCGGCGCTACATATAGCTGGGCAGCGGCTGGGCAAGGGACAGTTGGGTAGCTCACTTCTTGAGCGACGTGCTGCTGGAAGGAGGCTGCGCTATTCTGAGCGCAGCGCTGCAAGGCTGGACTCAGCGACCTAGGCGAGAGTGAGAGGTGGAGGCAATACCTGCAGTGGTGAGCTTACCTGGCGCCATAGCTGGGATCTCCACGCAGTACCTGCACAGGGCAACCACGGCGGTTAGTACAGCGACGGTGCCTGCAGGTGAGGCAGCGAGGAGGGTGACACCTTCTCCCTTCTCGCCCTCTATCTCTCCTCCTCTTCTCCTCCTCCCATTCTTCTTCTTCTTCTTCTTCTTCTTCTTCTTCTTCTTCTTCTTCTTCTTCTTCTTCTTCTTCAGATACGAGAGTGAGAGTGGTTACAGGAGTGAGAGTGGTTACAGGCAGAGGATACAGGCAGAGGTTACCGTGGGCATGGCGCCCAGGATCTGATTCGACATTTCTGAGACACATTGATTGGACATCGGCAAGAGACTATTTTTGGACTTCGCTATTGCGACCTACCTCTCGTCTCTCGCTCTCTTCCCATCTCTCGTCTGTGGTACCTCCCCATGTGTGTGTACAAGGAGGGACCTTTCTTCCTCGTGTGCGGTCCCTCCTCCTCTCACATGTGTGATTTATGATGGGATGTCGTGTCAGTCCCGGTCAGGTCAGGACTTACCCTAAACTCTTCCGTTGCGCTACCAGGTGCCATTTTGTATGTATCAGGGTGAACATTGCTTGTTGATGCTCAACTGATAGTGCATTGTCCATTCAGTCCTCCTCGTCACATTGCGGATCCTTGGCTCTACATACATTGGCCCACTGGGCATGTATCAGTTGGTATCGGGGGCCCGCACGTGAATCAGGACAACCTGATCTGACACGTGTGCGGGGACTGTTAATTAGTGATCAATTGATTAGTCGTTAATTGGTTGATTGATCATGGACCGATTGTAAATTGATTAATTGATTGATTGATTAATTAATTGATTAATTGATTAATTGATTAGCTAATTGGGTCATACTAATTAGTCCCCAAAATCGCGAAATTCTTTTTGACCAAACTGCCAAAATCGAATTTATTTTTTTTTCCTTTTTAGGTTTCGTTTTCTCAGCGCTACTTTCGTTTGTGAAAATCGCAAAATCCGAAATAGCACAGCATCTGAAAATTTCGATTTTCTTTTTTCTTTCGAAATTCGAAAGTTCATTGTTTAGAAATCTGGAATATTTTATGGAAATTTTCGATTTGTGTTTTCCTTTGCAATTTGACGTTATTCGAAAATTCCGAATTTTTTTTTTTTTGACAATCGCCGAAATTCGTCATCGTGACTTTGACATGTTATGGGACATCCCTCTTTGCAATCACGTTTTCAAACTGCACATACTCTCATCTGAATAATTCCGGAATTTTTTTCACTCCCGGAATGCCCTGAATTGCGAAAAATTTTTCTTCGCAGTTCTATTATTCTTTATTCATTATTTTTCTGTGTTAATCATTGCAGTCTGCAAATTCGATTTTTTTGATTGGAAGTTCTGAATTTAAGGGAGATTGGGAGACCGATTGAAGTTGCAAACTCGGGATTTTATTATTATTGTATTATTATTAATTTCTCGGATTTTTTTTCAAAAGTTCAAACTTTTCTTTTGCTTAGTGGCTCCTTATCTGGGCGATTTATCCCACCCACCCCTCCCCACCTATGTTGTTGCCCCTCTGGTCTACTCCTCTTCTTCATCTGCTTCCGGGTACCCCTACTGCAGCATTGGTAAGTTGCCATGTCAGCAGTGACACATCAGCAGTGACCACGTCAGCAGTGACACATCAGCAGTGTGACACGTCAGCAGTGTGACACGTCTGGAGTGACACATCAGCAGACCACGTCAGCAGTGACATGTCAACAGCAAGGGAGTGCCACGTCAGCAAGCCGTCGGCCTGACCCATGCTCTTGTGCTATCAAACAGTCGTCATGGACCAGAAATCTGGAGAAACGGGCGCAGCGTATCAGACCCGGATGCTGGCTTTGATTACCGATGCCAAGTAACGGGCGGATACAGCAGCAGCCGCAGAGAAGAAGAAGGCGGAGGATGCCGAAAAGGCACGTCTGTTGGCGATCGAACAGCAGCGCCAGCACGACGGGGCAACAGCAAAGGCTGCCGATGAAGAACGCAATCAGCAACGCGAGAAGGTGTCCAGCGAGGAGCGAGCTTTGCTCACTATGGCAGCGGCATGGCGGACAGAGGCCGAAGGTGGCGAATTCAGCGACAGCGGAACACGCATCTCGCTGTTGCTCTCCCACCTCACGAACCTCCTGGCAACGTGCATTGCACAACAGGAGGACATCCATAGCCTTGGCGACATGGTAAAGAACCAGCAACGGTGGTTGGATCAGGTGAACAGCTGCCTCCAGCAGCTGGAGCAACGACCCGTCGCCGCCCCCGTCGCCAGCTCCTCCAACACCTCCGACCGACTCAACGCATTGGAAGTCGACGTCGGAGCACTCAAGGACGGCATGCAGCGACAGCAAACCGCAACTCAACAATTTGAGCACCGGGTCTGCACCCCCGCCACTCATTCGAGCATGTCACAACGAGAATCGACTCCGAAGTTCGACGGTCAGGAGATCTTCTGCGACACAACAAAGAAGTACCCGATTTTGTGGTTTCGCCAGTTCGAGCTCAAGTTGCAGCTCCACCACTTCCACGAAACGAGGCACCACTCGTACTTGTACTCCCGATCGGGGGGCGCGTGCCAAGCATGGATGAAAAACCTCTTGTCTGAACACGGCGTGGTGGCGACCGACTTGCATACGAAGATCAGCTGGGAGGATCTGAAGGCGGCATGGCGTAAGCAGTTCCAGATCGAGCCGCCGGAAATGAAAGCCATGGATAAGCTGAACAAGTTCCACCAAAACACGCTGCCAAGCGGCGATTGGATTGCCGAGTTCCAACACTTGACATTCGTATCAGGCGTACCAATGGGCTTTCCAGCCATGAAACACTACTTCATCTCGAGGTTGTCTATGGCATTGCCCATGGCGTTGACTCAAGTCGCAGACACGCTCACTACAACTGCGGAGCTCTTCGACAAGGTCGTGCAGATCATCGTCATGATCACGAAGGCCAAGAACCTCTCATCTACGGCAGGCCAGAGCAGAGAACAGCATCGGCCGAACGTGGTGGTGGTCGCGGCAGCAACGTCAACCGACCCCTCAAGCGAGGCCGTGTCTGCCAATGAAGGGGGAGAGACGGTTAACGGGGGCCCAAATATTCGCCGTTTTCGTTGGCAATTGTGGTGCGAATTTCATCAAAGTTTTTAAAAACAAACGATATATATCACACATGACGTACCCTACAGCACATATATATCACAAAAAAATAAAAACAAGAAAAAAGCAAAAAGTCGGCACAATATGACAGTTCAGCGCAATTAGGTGCAAAATTCGTCGAAAATAACACCCCTGGTTAACCATGTGTGGAGGTTTGATGAGGTGTTTGTCTTTGTTTTGCCGCGTCCTCGGCCTTTGCCGGGGCGGCCACCATCCCGAGCGAGTTGGTTAACCAGGGGTGTTATTTTCGACGAATTTTGCATCGAATTGCACTGAAACTGTCATATTGTGCTGATTTTTTGTTTTTTTTCTTGTTTTTCTTTTTGTGTGATATATGTGCTTTAGGGTACGTCATGTGTGCAGCTTTGACATGTTTGGATCAATAATGAAAAAGTTGGCATTTTGTTGAATTCGTTGGACGCTTCATTTTGTTAGGGTTTCATAGTGTTTTTTTGTTTTTTTTTTTCATTCTTTTTTGCCTGTTTCCTTTTTTGATGTTTGCACTATGGTCTTATATCGTTTGTTTTTTTAAATTTTGATGAAATTTGCATCGCAATTGCCAACGAAAACGGTGAATATTTGGGCCCCCGTTAATCGTCTCTCCACGAGATTCCGCTACTGCTTGTGGTGCAACAAGCTAACAGCGATTTACATGTAGCAGTGGGCTGCCCTTGATGCCTCACGGCAAGGGCAAGTCGGGAAATTGAGCATCGTCGGGAGTGAGTCACGACACTCTCGATGCCTTCGGAATCGGTTGCTTTGTGAGCGACCGCCCTTCGTTCCGAGGCACATTCGAAAGTCGATAGTCCTCCTCTCTCATATTCCTATGAGGACTATGCTGTCCGGCTCATTCCTACACTGCGTACTCATGCTCAAGGACAAGACGTGTGTGCGGCATCTTCTCCATCCGGCAGCGGAGACTTATCGTCTTCAAGTGGTTCTTCACGGGATTCGGCGCGCGAGTTCAATATAGCGGTATTAGACCCGCACTCGTTCGAGGATTTCGCATGGCATCTTTGCCGACGGATGACGAAGCTGCAGTGGGGGACATCCTTGCGTATGTTACCAAGGTGGCCCGCGAGTTTCGCAAGTAGCGGTACGATGACAACAACGCACGGCTCCTCTATGTCCGCATCCAAGTTCGGCAAGCGTCCTGCAGCGCTTTGCTGGATAGCGGCGCGTCTCGCAATTTCATGAGCCAAACCTTTATGCAAAGGGCTGGCCTCGACGCACAAGTTCGAAGGAAGGCAAACCCAACGGCGATCAAGTTGGCGGACGGAAAGACGCAGCAACTTCTTGAACGCTATATCGAGGCCGTCCCGGTCTATTTTGCACCTCATGCATGCGAACCGGTGACGTTCGACAGTTTGGACACGGACTTCGATATTATTTTGGGAATGCATTGGCTTGCAAGTGTGGATCACACGGTCAACTTCCACCGGTGGACTCTTACCGTCCGGGACGCCTTCGACGCCGAAGTGTCGTGTACTATTCCTCTTCTGCACCCTTCGATTCGGTGCCAAGTAGTGACGGCCAAGTCGTTCCGGGCTACTTGCGCTTACAAGCAGCCCGACAAGATAGGCCTATGCTTCCTACGGATCGTCGCGGTAGCCAACTCTTCCCCCACACACTTGCCTTCGGACCCGCGTGTGGTGTGGTTGCTTGAAGAGTTCGCCGACATCTTCGAGTCATCTACCGGTGTGGTGCCGGATCGACCGATCTCTCATGAAATCATTCTTGAAGCCGGTGTCGTGCCGTTGAAAGGTTGCATTTATCGCATGAGCGAGGAGGAGCTTACGGTCCTCCGCGCTTAACTTGATGACTCGTTGGACAAGGGTTGGATCCGCCATAGTAGGTCCTCCTATGGAGCGCCAATTCTCTTCGCACGGAAGAACAAGGATCTATTATTGTGCATCGACTACCGCAAGCTCAACGCGCAAATCGTCAAGAATGCGGGGCCTCTTCCTCGTATTGACGATCTTCTTGAGCGATTGGGCGGCGCAAAGTACTTCTCTAAGTTGAATTTGAAGTCGAGATATCATCAGATTTCGATCCGCCTGAACGATCGCTATAAATCCACGTTTAAGACGCTGTATGGGCATTTTGAGTGGGTGGTCATGCCTTTTGGCCTCACCAATGCTCCGACGACATGTAAAGCAGCAATGATCAACGAGTTCCGTGCGATGTTGGACCGGTTCGTGCTGGTCTTACTTAGACGATATCCTCGTTTATAGTCGGACATTGGAAGAGCATCTTAAGCACCTTCGACGGGTGTTGGAGACGATTCGTCGTGCCATGTACAAGGCCAACCGAGACAAGTGCGAATTTGTCCGGCAAGAGCTGGAATACTTGGGCCATTTTGTCACACCATAGGGCTTCAGTCCGTTGTCAGACAAGATTCAAGCCATCCAAGAGTGGCCGGAGTCGCGGAACGTCACGGATGTCCGCTCGTTTTTTGGCCCTACCGGCTACTACCAACGTTTCATCAAAGGATACTCGAAGATCGCGGCTCATTTAACCAAGCTTCAATGCGAGGATCAGCCGTTCGACTTCGGAGAGGATGCGCGAGAATCATTTTTGGCCCTCAAAGTTGCGTTATTATCCGTGGAAGTCTTGTGCATATACGACTCGCTATTGTCGACGCGTGTCGCTACGGATGCGTCAGGCTATGGCATTGGTGTCGTCCTCGAACAACACGATGGCGTGGACTGGCACCCGATCAAAGTGTCCGTCGTGCACTCCATTGATGATGCACGCAAGGAGCTGCTAGCCTTTGTCAACGCACTCGAGCGGTGGCGTCACTTCCTCCTTGGTCGAAGTCAATCCCGATGGGTAACGGACAACAATCCGTTGGTCTTCTACAAGATCCAAAACACCGTCAATAGCACGATCGCCCGTTGGATGGCTTTCATTAAGCAATTCGACTTCTTTCCCGATCGCATTTCGGGGAAGTCTAACTGTTTTGCGGATGCTCTTTCACGGCGTCCGGATCATTGTACCACAGTCTATTCGACCTTCGAGATCGACGATGACCTGCGGGACAGCTTCATCAGTGGCTATCAAGCCGACCCAGAGTTTCACGACAAGTATGCGAATTGCTCCTCTCCTAATCCGGCCCCTTCTCACTATTGGATCCAAGAGGGGTACTTGTCGACAAGCGGGGTAGGGCCTTCTTTGCGTACCGATTGACTCTCACTTGCGTACACAGCTTCTTGGCGAGTTCCGCGATGCTCCCGCCACCGGACACTTTGGAGTCAATCAAATGAATGGCTGACTTCGCGAGCGCTTTTGGTGACCCGGCCTTCTCGACGACGTTACACGCTATTGCGAGTCATGCAAGGTTTGTCGATGCTGCAAATTCCGCAATCATCGTTCGTACAATGAGTTGCGACCATTACCGGTCCCCTTGCGTCGAAGGGAAGCGATTGCCATGGACATTACCGGGCCGTTCCCCAAGCACAAGACCGGTGTGGATGGGATTCTCACGGTGGTCAACCGACTCACCAAGTTCGCCATGTTTTTGCCTTGCTGCTATCATGCCAAGGCACCGGAGTTGGCCGAGGTTCTTTACGCCAGTTGGATTCGAACCAAGGGTTACCCCAAGGAAATCGTCGGCGACATTCGGTTCATGTTCGATTTTTGGTTGGCGCTTATCAAACGATGGGGCTCATCTCTCAAGCCAAGTTTGGCTCCCCACCCCCAAACCGATGGTCAAACGGAGAGGGCGCTTCAGACCGCACAGGTTCTCCTTCGCACTGTCATCCGTCCCGACCAAAAGGATTGGGTTGAGTAGCGGCTGCCAGATGTCGAGTTGGCATACAACTCATCCATCCACCCAGCTATCGGGATGTCGCCCTTCGAGTTCGAGCACGGCTCGCCGGTCACTTCTCTGTTGGACACAATCATTCCACGAGCGGCCGAGAGCGACAACCATCTTCTCTTCTTGCGTCGGATGCAAGAGCTACTTGTCGAGGCACGCAACCAGATGGCTAAGACGCAGCAACGCATGAGCCAACGAGGCACGCAACCAGATGGCTAAGACGCAGCAACGCATGAGCCAACAACCAATCGCCAGCGTCTTCCTTGTCCATTCTGCGTCGGCGATCTCTTTTGGGTTTTCGTCGCGGAATTCAGCCTCGAACAAGATATCTCTCACAAGCTCCCCCCGAAATGGATGGGCCCCTGGCTGATCGTGGCACCCGCTGGGGATGCACCCGAAGGACCTTCCTTCATCATTCAGGTGCCCGCTCACTTGCCCGTCTACACGGTCTTTCATTGCTCCAAGCAGGCTCTTTACACGCCAACGGAGCAGGACGACTTTCCCGTGCGAAGATCGCAAGACCCACCTTCTATGGACGGTTTTCAAGAGGTCGGCAACATCATCTCTCAGCGATGCTACGACAACAGGCCGACCGAATACTTGGTACACTTTACGTACTGCACCCACAAAACTGACCGTTGGTTGACCCGTGCGGAACTCCAAGTAATAGGTCCGGATGTTCTCGCACGCTACGAACGCAAGATGCAAGGCAAGCCGGTATCTTCAGCTCCACGTCTCACCCGCGTCTAGTTTCACCTTCAGATCGTCAGCTTCGCCCTCGACCCGGCGTGACTCTATAAGGAGGGGGGGGTGTTACATGCTGCGCCTGCACACGGGCCCATTTTAAGGGGCCCGATGTTGCTGACGGGCTGCAGGACGCATATGCCATCAGACATGCTCCCAGGAGCCCCACGGAGGCCCCCAGGCCGCAGATTCCAAATAAAGGCAGCAATATCTATTGATTTATTTGACTGTTTACCTGTTGTCTTGTCCTTTGTTTGTGCAGACGTCATTACGGACAAGGCAACGCCTTGGGCCAGGTACAAATGCACGAGCCCTTCCAAAACCAGGCGCGTTTTAGCGCCTGACTCGATGGTACCAATACCGTTGCGGACCACAAGCACCAAGGCAGCGCCTTGGGCCAGGTGCACAGGAACGGGGCCTGATCTAGGCCTGGCGCGCTTTTGCACCCGCTGCATCAGCAGCATGGTCTGGATGTCCGGTAGGGACCCAGACTAGCTGGGCCGTTTCTGAGGCTAGCACTAGGTAGGCCCAGCCCGCCCAACGCTATATATAGCTGGGCAGCAGTTGGGCAAGGGAGAGTTGGGTAGCTCACTTCTTGAGCGACGCGCTGCTGGAAGGAGGCTGCGCTATTCTGAGTGCAGCGCTGCGAGGCTGGACTCGACGACCTAGGCGAGAGTGAGACGTGGAGGCAATACCTGCAGTGGCAAGCTTGCCTGGCGCCATAGCTGGGATCTCCACGCAGTACCTGCACAGGGCAACCACGGCGGTTAGTACAGCGACGGTGCCTATAGGTGAAGCAACGAGGAGGGTGACACCTTCTTCTCCCTTCTTGCCCTCCATTTCTCCTCTTCTCCTCCTTTCATTCTTCTTCTTCTTCTTCTTCTTGAGATATGAGAGTGAGAGTGGTTACAGGCAGAGGTTACCGTGGGCATGGCGCCCAGGATACGATTCGACATTTCTGAGACAGACATTGATTGGACATCGGCAAGAGACTATTTTTGGATTTCGCTATTGCGACCTACCTCTCTTCTCTCGCTCTCTTCCCATCTCTCGTATGTGGTACCTCCCCATGTGTGTGTACAAGGAGGGACCTTTCTTCCTCATGTGAGGTCCCTCCTCCTCTCACATGTGTGATGTATGATGGGATGTCGCACATGTGTGATGTATGATGGGATGTCGTGTCAGTCCCGGTCAGGTCAGGACTTATCCTAAAGTCTTCCGTTGCACTACTAGGTGCCATTTTGTATGTATCAGGGTGAACATTGCTTGTTGATGCTCAACTGACATTGCATTGTCCATTCAGTCCTTTTCATCTCATTGTGGATCCTTGGCTCTACATACATTGCCCCACTGGGCATGTATCAATTAGCCAGGACAGGCCTGTTGCAAAATATTGATATCACAAAGTCGCACATGCAATGAGGTAGGTGGAGGCCTCTGCAGGCTGCTGCCAAGGCTGCTCCATGCTTTTCGGAGAGCTGGCTTAGCAAGGCAGAAGAGGGTTCTCTGGCCTGCCAGTGGCTGGATAGCCATAACAATGATCACGAGTTTTCCAGTTACTCGTGGTCTATGGTATGTGGTTACTGGCAGGGAAGGACATTTTTTCAGATAGTTTTTATCTCTAACCATAACAATGCTCACGAGTTTTCCAATTACTCGTGGTCTGTGGTAAGATGATGTGGTTACTGGCAGGGCAGGAGATTTTTTCAGATAGTTTTTATCTCTATCTCTGCAAATAGCAAGGAAGAGAGACACTAGTTATGCTGCTGCACTCTTTTGTTCTAATGTCTTCTCTCTGGCCTCTTATGGGGCTTATAGAGTCAGTATAGATTGTTGTTTTAAAAGACTCGAATGTCGATGTCTCTGCAAATACCAAAGGAGAGAGCTTTGTCTTTTCTCTGGCCTCTTATGGGGCCTATAGTGTCAATATAGATTGATGTCCTAAGAGACTTAAATGCAGATGTCAGATGTCTCTGCAAATACCAAAGGAGAGATAGGAGTTACGCTGCTGCACTCTTTTGTTCTTACCTGTCTTGTTTCTCTCTGGTTTCGAAAGGCCTTTATGAAGTCAGTATGCATTGCTGCCCTAAGACACTCGAATGTTGATGGATAAGTGAATGGCCTCTGCTGGATTGAAGTTGTATTCTTGTGAGAACTTGCAATGAAATTCCGGTTCAAGACGGGACTTCATGACAAAATTTGATTTTTTCGGTGGGTCACAACATCAACGGAGCAGCAAACGCAAATAGTCACAAAGTTGCAGCCCTCTCATTCCTCCTCTCATCGTCCTGAGTGGCTTTGAAGTTTGACACCATGTACCGATGTATAATCTTTCCATTAGAGTTCGTCTGATGGGTTGTAATGTTGTGGTGCCGTTGTCGCCAACCGAATCCTGATGTCGGTGAACTTCTGCCTTCTGATAAGGTTTGGAGTTTTGGCTATATGGATCGATGGTATGCAAAATTGGGTCTCGAATTCACAGGAGGGAAAAACGAAGCCGAGGGGGCTTCTGTGTTTTTCAGTAGTTTCTGATTAGTCATTCATTTTAGAAATGAATTGGACACAACTCTTTGTGAGAGACGGGCCTTCAGGAGGGACGGGCATCATTGGTATTGTCTTTTGCCCGTGTGCTCACTAGGGCTGTTGTAGATGAACCTACCTCCTATTATATTTAGATTCAGTCCAAAAAGTCACCCTGAGGACCCTAAACCCCAACTCATTTGGGTGACACACGTAACTGTGACACCATCGGACGACGGCCCAGTGGTTAACCGACGCGTTACACAACAACACTCACACACACGGAACGACACAAAACAAATAACACAACAACATTCCTAGTCCCTTTTGTAGTCATCCCATAACCTTCCGATGCGGAAATCGGATAGGCGACGCGCGTGAGACTTAGTATAAAATCGCGCGGACGCAGGGCTAACTCATATCAACTCGCAATGCATGCATACCAAGCAGTCGCAATGATGACGTACTATGTAGGACCCATATTCATGCGGTTCTCATTACTCTCAAGTGTCGGCTGACACACGCCTTGAGGGGTTGATCTCTCGACGCTAAACAACCGCCAAGTGCGGTTGAGAACCACACCCTCTTTTGCACCCTGCAGAGAGTGGGTGGTACACAGGTTGATACATGTGGTGGCAATCGTCTTTTATCGCCTTGGAGACTAGCTCCATCATCCAGGGTCTGGGAGAAATCAATGGGTTTGATTTTGACGGCTGTCACGGTCTACAATTTTCAACTGTATAGAAACTTTAGAAAGCAAAGGATAAAAGAAGATCTCCCTCTTCTTTCAAACGCATAATTTGTTTAACCCTTGCGCATGGTCACAATAGGTCGTTCAAACACCCATTGCGTATCTATGTACATGTATATAAAGGGGTTATAAATATGTGATGATCACTATTCACAATCACAGTGGGACTGCTCTCAGCCACAGGCAGTCAAATCCAAAGTCCGAACTTCCAAACATATCTGCAATCACATCAAAGATCACAGGCAGTCAAATCCAAAGTTCGAACCACCAAACATATCTGCAATCGCATCAAAGATTCAACTAGGAGTCTATACACTACACGAGGTCAACTTTTCAATCATTCTCTGGAGTCACACCCCTCGCTTTAGCCATACAAACCTCCACATTAGTGCACCACAGATGAGTGGTAAGGGCGGATTTGAGTTGAATCGTAAATCGACGAATCG